CAGGGCCGACCACGGTTTGAGTCCAAGACCTGGTGGCTTACTTTCTCACTTTCCCTCTTTCTCTCTCTCTTGCTCTCTTGTTTTTTTTTTTCTCTCTCTCTGTCCCTCTCTGGTCAAATTTAAAAAATAAATAAATAAATAAATGTAAGTAAAATAATTATTTAAAAAAAGACATAAATGAAAGTACTCTCTGTCATATTATAGGGCATGGAATTCTCACTGGAGAGACAGAGAGAGACAGAGAGATGGAAAATGAGAGGACACCTCCCAGGATGATGGCCATGCCACAATCCCTTCTCCTCTCAGGATTTTGGGCATGTATATACATATGCCCAGAGTGAATTTTAAGGTGCTGGGTCTGGGACTTGAACCTTAGTCAACCATCTTGGTGTCCAGTACCTTAACTACTATGTCACTTTGCTGGCCCCTCAATCACTCTATTTTCAATAAACACATCTTATTTGTAGTTCTTAACAGTCCATTTCGGATCTCTTCACAACACGTTAGCTGTTCTCCTAGCTCACTCCTGCACATATTGCACATTCAGGATTCAGTTTAAATGTTACTCTATTCACAACCTATCCCTGACTGAACTGGGAGTTCAGTACCTGGTGGTACTCCTATATCACTCAGATTTTTTTCTCCTATATTTATCACACCATCCCGTACACGTTTGTTAACTTATTGTTTTGCAATGTACTATAATGTCCTTGAGTGGAGGGTTTATGTCTGGTTCAGTGCTGAATACCCTAAGACTAGTGTACTGTAGGTACATAGCGGTCACTCGGCAAATACGTGTTAAATAAATAAATCTATATATTTTCTTGGATTCTCACTCATAAAAGTCTTTTATTGGATAACTTTGCATAAGTTTTTTTTCTTTTTTTTTACAAAGTCTTGCTCTTAACTTTCTGGGCCTTTGTGGTTTGGATTTCACAGAAAGATTAAGAGCTAACAGCAACATTACAGGAAGGAACCTGAGGAGAGGAAATGGTGAGAGAGTCTAAATTTATGTCTCTATTAGGGAAACAAAGAGAAAATATGGACCTAAGAGCACCTTGGAAGGCAAGATAAGAGAAGTTACAAATGGAGGCCGGCAGATGGTGTAGTGGTTAAGGGCGTAGGACTCCCATAGGGCTGACTGAGGTTTGAGTCCCGTACCTGGTGACTTGCTTTCTCACTTTCTCTCTCTCTCATGTGCATGCTCGCGCGTTCTCTTGTTTTTTCTCGCTCTGTCCCTCTCTGGTCAAATTAAAAAATAATAAATGAATAAAAGTAAATAATTATTTAAAAAAAGAGATATTATAAATGAGAGTACTCTCTGTCATATTATAGAACGAGATCTGCCCATACTCATAATCTAAGAAAACTCCAACTTTCTGCCTTTGCTGTCTCATTGAGACCTTTTTTAAAGGGGAAGAGACCCACAAGATAAAATTGGTGTCTATTATAGATCCGGTGAGTAAGATTTTTATACCCAGAAGCTTTGGGCATGTTGCCCCTTCTATTTGCAGAGTCTTGATATATGCCCAATTGCCCTTTTTTTGCCTTTTTTTTTTTTTGAGAGGGTTTTTTTTTTTTTTCACTATAGGGCGCGTGTGCTCGCCAGACAGACAGAGAGAGACATAGAGACAGAAAGCGAGAAATCACCCTCCCCAGGGGGGATGGTCACGCCGCAATCCCTTCTCCTCCATTCTCCTCCCGGGATCTTGGGCACGTACGCACACGCGCCCGGTGTGAGTTTTAAGCCACCGGGTCCGGGACACGAACCGCGGTCGACTACGTGGGAGTCCAGCGACATAGCCATTAAGCTAACTGCTGGTTCCCGCCTTTTTCACATCTACATCCCAGTAGTATCTCCCTGAAGAGAAGCTTTCCACACCCAAGCCAGTGGCACTAAAGACAAAATCTCCTTGGATTGCCAGGCACATCCTGCTGAGTATTTCCAAATCTTGAGCTGTTTCAGAATCCAAAGTTATATTCCTTTGAAATGCTTTTAGTATTTGGTTCGTTCCTCTTATTTGGCAGACACTGTAGCAGTAGTGACTCACTCCTTTCCAAAGAACAGCTTGCATTCTGGAACTGTGCTAAGGTGGACTCTCCACACTTCTCGAGCTCCGGAGCGACCCTTTCAAGGCTGCAGACTTGGTCAGAAACTCTGACTTCACTCCTTGAGTTTATTCATGTTCTCTTTCCCCAGGTTGTTGAGCCTCTGAAGCATTTCCTGGGACTTCTCCTCCAGCTCAGTGGCATATCTGATCAGTTGATTCAGACTGGTTTCTGCCTCCTCGAAGTCTCAGAAATTTTAGCTCGTTCTCAACATTTGGAACCTTATAAATTTAAACTCAAGTTCAAGTCAGGCATGCCTCCTCGAAGTCTCAGAAATTTTAGCTTGTTCTCAACATTTGGAACCTTATAAATTTAAAATTCTGCTCCTGTTCCTGAACGATTATTGTTCTTTCTTGCTCATCAACCAACATGCTTTCAGTTACTTCAAGTTTCTTCCTCAATATGTTCAATATATCCTGGAATAATTTCCTATACTTTTCCACAGCCTGCTATATCCCATATACAACGTGACACTTGTACTCCTGGGACTGCAAGCCTTTGTTGCAAAGTGTCATTTGGTCATCATGACAGAACAGCTGTGGTGGCTCCAGATGTGTCCCACAACAGGCAACTTCTGTATCTGGGGGCTGTATCTGTGTGCTCACCAGAGAGACAGAGAAGGAGGGGGAGAGAGAGAGAAAGGGAGACAGCTAGCCACAAGGTCTGACATTCAAACCGCAGTCAGCCTTGTGGGTGTCCAGTGCCTTAATCACCACACCACCTGCTGGCCCCAAGTGAATGATTCTTAAATAGAAGTCTGAAAGAACTCACAAAACTATCTGTGGAGAAACCTATTTAGCATTCCTTGTTTTGTGAATGGATTATTCTGACAGCATTTCTCCTTGTCCTTATGCTTTTGATTTACAATTTGTAAGAACTGTCAGAAAAAATTCTAAAATATAATGAAATTAGTTGAGTAAACGTATCTCAAAATGATGTAATAAGAAAGTGATATAGACCAATAAGCTGAAAGTATTAAACAGTGTAAGACAAAGAAAAATGGATGAAACCATAACGACAGATTCAGGGATAGAAAGCAAGGAACTGTGTGTTTTCTTCAGAGCTTACTAAGCGGAATGTACTAGGACCAGCAGATGGCATAATGGTTATGTCATTGACTCCCACGTAGTTGACCTAGTTTGAATCCTGGACCTGGTGGCTTAAAACTCACACTGGGTACATGTGCGTGTGTGTCCAAAACTCCAAGAGGAGAATGGAGGAGAAGGAATTTCGGCGTGGTCATATCCGGGGGGTGGGGAGTCGATTTCTCACTTCCTGTCTCTCTGTATCTCTCTGGTGAAAGCATGTGCTCTGTAGCAAAAATCTTAAAAAAAAAAAAAAAACAAACAACAACAGGAATGTACTTTGCTAGTAATATCTCATTTAACTTTACAATAGTTTTTTTGAGGTTGGTATGTTATACCTACATTAAAGATAAGAAAATTAAAGATCAGGTTATAGCAAAATAAACTGAAAAAATATTTTTAAAGTTTCTTATAATTTTTTTCTTCCTTTTTTTAAGTGTTTTTTTTTTTTTTTTTCTATATGGTGTTTATGCTTACTGGAGACACAGAGAGAAAAAGTGAGGGGGAAAGTGACAAATCACCCCACAGGGCAGATGGCCACACCACAGGTCCTTCTCCTCCTTTCTCCTTCTGGAATTTTGGGGACACATGCCTGGTGTGATTTTCTTTTCTTTTCTTTCTTTCTTTCTTTTTTTGTTATTATTATTTTTTTTTTGAGAGGTTTTGCTATAGGGTGCATTTGCTTGCGAGAAAGACAGAGAGACAGAAAGCGAGAAATCATCCTGCAATCCCTTCTCCTCCATTCTCCTCTTGGGATCTTGGGCACACAGGCACACACGCCCCCTGGTGTGATTTTCAAGCTGCCAGCTCCAGGACTCAAATCATGGTCTGTCATGTGGGAGTCCAGCACCTTAACCACTATGTCATCTGCTGGCCCCATAAGTTTCTTTTGAGAGCGAGAGAGACAGGTACCCACAACAGGGTTTCACACCATAATCCACTCCCAGCCTTAGCCAACCAGGATCACTTGGTAGAGCGCACATCTGCCATGTACAAGGAGACCTCTGCGATGTCAGCTCAGGACTTCATGTGGGTTTAGCATTTCAGAGTATTGCATTACCACTGTGCCACCATGGCTGGCCTGATTTTGCATCTTTGATGCAACAAACTGCAAATAAGACACAAATAAAATTTTAAAAATCCTGTAAGTTATTATAAATAAACAAAAGTAAACCGTTCTGCACCCTAAGTGATCCTTTGGCTGAGTCTAGGTTCCTGTATCAGCTCTTGCGCTTTCTCTTCTGAAGCAATTTCTATCTTCTTTGGATACAGAGATATTGCCTTTCTTGCACCAACATAAATTCCGCTGCCTTTCTCAAGCCCTTTCTCACTTAAGTTCCTTCTTGAGGAAAAATGGCTTCATTAGATCTCCTTTCTGATTTAGCTAAACTTGAGTTCGAGTCTAGTAAAGAACAGGAAATACTAAGCAACACAGATTACTGGTGTAGATCATTCGGGGGAAAATATACAAAGGTAAAATCCTCAGCAGTGGCTGTGTTTAGGTTATCATACGCCACACCGTAAGATAAGGTAGAGTTATTTCCAAGTTCCATAACTTCCTACGTTTATTAAGTCAGGTTAAGTAACTAAACTTTGTTTCACTTTTCTTATTGAGAGGATAAAAAGAGGATACTCGTCCTCAGCCTACTCCAGGACTTCTGTAAGGATAAAGTGAAGTGTTGTAAACATTCGGTTTACGTAATTTGGCACAGAGGTACGTTTGCGAGCGCCTGCGGACAAGATCACTGAGCGGAACGCACCCGAAGGCGGCCGGTCGCTAGGGAGAGAAAGCCGAGCGTTTCTATGTGACGTCATCACCCCGCGCCCACCGCGACCATTTCTAGCAGGGCTCCGGGCAGTGTTCCGCGCCATGGGGACTTGGTTGCGTTTTGCTGGGGTGTCGCTCCTGGGTGGTGGCAGGGCCACGACCTTGCGTGGGGGAAGGCAAGCGTTGATTTGTCGGCGCCAGGTCCGTGCTGCTGGGTAGGGGAGGCGGGCGAACGGACTGACAAGCTGGGCGGCCGGGCCGCAGGGTCCCTCGTATCGTCCCATGCTAATAATTCACCTCAGCCCCATGTGGGCCGCTGCCCACTTGGCGGCTCGTGGAGACCCCAGTCTACTGGACGTCCCCACTTGCAGCCAGGCTTCCTAGTAGGTACAGGCTAAGGCGTGGCGGGGCATTGAAACATGGTCGGCACACGAATATATGTATTCTTCATTGCTTTCTTGGTTCTCGGGAATTTAGCAAATAGTTTAAAGAGAAGAAAAACACGTGGAGGATATAATTCTGCCAAGAGGCAGTTTGTCATTTCCACACTGTATCCTGGCAGATAAATTTCATTTTAAACAACGTGCTTTACAGTTGTGATCAGGAACAGTATGTAAGAGCCACTGAAAGCCGAGAAGAGCAGAATTAGGAGACAGCCTTCTTAATTGCAAACCACGAATTGTATTTACTTTCAAAGCGTGATAATGAAGAGGGCTTATATTAAAAGCTTTTTTTTTTTTTTAATTTTTTTCAAGTTATCTGGCACCGAGAGTGAGACCATAAAACAAAGAAGATCACAAATCATGTCCCGAGGACTTCCAAAGCAGAAACCCATAGAAGGTGTTAAACACGTTATAGTTGTGGCTTCTGGAAAGGGTGGAGTTGGAAAGTCTACTACAGCAGGTATCATAAGATATTGGTCCTTATCCTGATTAAGAAGTCATGCCAACTGTCAAGTGCATATTATTAAAATGATAGTTTTGCTTTTAAGAAGAGTTTAATATTTGTGGTATCTTTCTAAAAGCTGGTTCTTTAGTATCAGTCATTGGTACTGGGTGGTAGCCTGGATTTTGGAATTCAACAAAACTAGGTAGTAACCCCTCTGCAGTTGATTTTTAAAAAGGATTATCTTTACCGTATTTCATTTTGTTAATTTTGACTTAGTTCCAGACTGATAAAAACTTTAAAATTTTGACTTTTTTGCAGGCTATCAACCTAAATTATAAAGCATGTGTTTACCAACAATTATTTCATTTCATTGAAGTTACTATTTTAAATAAGAAAGGTCTGGTACAGAGTTATGAGAATATCACTAGAGATCATGTGTGCTAGACTGGAAGCTTTATTCTGTACTTTGGGTATAGTAGTGTAACAGTTGTGTAGCCAGCTACAAATCCAACTATATAGTGTTATTTGTCCCTGTCCTCCCCCCCATTTTGACTTAAAAGGAATCATGGACGTTTGTCAGATAGTTTGATTAAGTTAAGATGTGTCAAATACTCTACCTGTGATGGACCCTCTATAATCTATTACTATTTGATAGGTACTATAATGCTATTAAAAATGATTAGTGGTTTGTTCTTAATGAATTCATGCTATACCCTACACATTTTTGCTTTCTTTCCTAAAGGCTTACAATCTTTCCATATGATTTTCTTTGTACTGGTTTTTGCTTTGGGGTGTGTGTGCTTGCCAGAAGGAGAGAGAGAGAGATAGTGAGAGGGAAAGTGAGAAGTCACCCCCCCACACACAGGGGGGATGGCCATGCAATCCTTTCTCCTCCATCCTCCTCCGGAGATCTTGGGCACACATGCATAGGTGCCTGGCATTAGTTTCAAGCCACAGATCTGGGATTCGAACCACAGTTGGCTATGTGGGATTCCAGAGAAGTAACCAATACGCTATCAGCTGGTCTTCCCATTTGTTGTTTTGTTGTTAAAATTTAGAACATTTTTAAGTTTGGCTTTAGAATCTTCCTCTTCCTGTTTTTTTCAAATTTGAAGTACATTTCCCTGTTTTCATTGCTATGAATCCTTTTGCATGCTCTGTGGTTGTTTAGACTAGATAAAAATAAAAAGTATTTATATGATCATAACCATAAGTTCTTTGGATTTTATGCAGCATAATATGTTAGATCTGTAGGCTAGCACTTGTTTAAAACAGATTGTTTATTGTTTTTAGTTGGAAAATGATCTGTTGCCATGGAATATGAAAGCATTTAAATATGAAAATATATAAAAAAATGTATCGTGTGGGAACATATAGTAGGTGCTTCAATAATGTCTCTTCCTCCTTTTTTCCCCTTAATCTTGTTCTATACCAACTAGCTGGCCTATACATTTTCATAGTAGCTCTGTCAGCATACCTAAGCTGTAGCTATTTCTGTGTAATTTTGTTGATATTATATTTCTTTCCCTTATATGTATTTATTCCTGTCCTAAGCTATTTTATCTTATTTCAATTTATTTTTTCCTTTTAAGTTTATTAATTTATCTCCTACATAAGTGATATATATAGAGAGAACCGCCAACAGGGTCCTTATGCTTTCATCCACCCACAGCCTCAGTGAGTTTTGCATCATGGACATATGCTTGCCAGGCATACTCAGGGAAATCTCTGGATATGAACCCAGAACTTTCCCATGTGGTTCAGCCTCACAGAGCATTATGTTTTACTGCTGTAGCACTTTCTGGCCCCTCAAACATTTTAAATATACTTACTATTTGAATATATATGCTACAGATATTTTAGATTAGAAAGATGACATTTGATTGATAAGATATGCTCTGATTCTTTTATATAAATTCAGGAAGAACCTAACTTTAATATGAATTACTCTCTGAAAGTTTCTTCTTAAAAGCTGGGTTATGTTTAACTGATCATGTACCTGGAATTCAGAATTATTTTCTAATTTATAAGAATGAATTCGTTAAGTTTCATGCCTTAGGCTAAGTACTTCATATACAGTATTTCATTTAATCCTTACAACAGTTACGAAGTTGGAATTTTCTTCCTGTTATAGCAGAGGAAACAGACTTAAGGTTTCATAACAGAACGTAGTAGGGCTGAGATTTGAATTGATCTGTCTGCAACATTTAAGTTTTTCACTCCTTTAGAGGAAACAGCTAAGATATAATTATAACATTTTTCTGTAAGAAAATATGATTTGCAGTATAAAGGTTTATTTATTTATCAGGCTTGGAATTGTGTCACTTTTGGACTTCCCTTTTCAGCTGTAGCACATTCCTATTGCTGGGCTAAAAGTGACTTTGGGACTGTACTTTCCTATTCTATGTCTTTGGGATTCACTGGTACAGGGGGTTTTGGGAATACATTTTACCTTTTTAATCTTTTCTCCTCTTCCCTTTCCTCTGCCCAGTGGTGTAGCTTTTCATACGCAAGAATATTTATGAGTGGATACTTAGAACTCCTGCAATACCAGCATTTATTTTTATAAGGCAGTAGGATCATATATATTTTTACTTACTGAAATAGATAATTTTTCTACAAAATATGCTTTTGGGAATAATTGAACTGTGTAACTTATTAACATGGATTTTTAAAAAACTAAGTGAATTATTTGAATAAAGCTATAACAGATTATAAATGGATATTGAATTTATATTAGATTATAAATGGTTTAGTTTGGGGCAGGCATTTATGGGGAAGGTCTTCAAAAAGTTTATAGAAAACACATCGTATAAAAAAAGGTATGCATGGATTTCAATGTTTTTTTTTTTCCCCCAAAAACAAACTCATGCTTTAATTCCATTTGTCCATGAACTTCTGAAGTTCTCTCATATTGCTTATGTTGGAAAATTATTTTGTTTTTACTTTACTTTTTATTTTGTGCATTTTCTTTATGTCCTTGGTTTTTACAAATAATGTTGATGTATGAAAAATGTTTGTGCTTAGGTTATTACATTGCAGATATTAGAAGGCAAGTGAATTTTAATGAAAGATAAGTTACTAAATTTAATTATTTTTTGTTTCTTACAGTGAACCTTGCCCTTGCACTAGCAGCGAATGATTCGGTAGGTGTTTACTAATAGAAATAATACTTTATTAAAATTTTTTTTAAGGCAATGATAAAGAGCATATTGGTATTTATCATTTACTCTCTCAGAAGCTTTATAGTATAGTTTTAGTCAATTGCACATCTGTAACCAACTTAAAATTCTGCCTTTTTCACTGGTTATATTTAATAATGATACAGTCAGGGGATGATCTTACATTATTAACCATATTTATCCCACAAAAGACTTTGGTGGTCTTGCATGGAGATTGTGTCCTAAATTAGTTTTCTCATTTATTATCTGCAGAAGAATTATTGTGGGTTCAGTTTGTTTTGTCTTCATTTTTGTTAGAGGGCAAGTCCACTAACCAGAGAGAAATGGAGAGAGACAGAAAGAGGGGGAAAATGAGAAATCACTCCCTACAGGGGATGCCCATGCCACAATTCCTTTCTTTCTTTTCCCCTAGGGATTTTGAGCAGGCATACATATGTGCCTGGAATGTCTTTCAAGCCACTGGATCTAGACTCAAACCACAATGTGGAATCTAGCCACCATAATCACCATTCCACTAGCTGGCCTATCAGTTCAGTTTTTTAAGTGCTAGTAATTCAGTTTTTTTAAAGATAAAAGATACTCTAAAAGTAGTGCACCTTTACTAAAACAAAATTTGTACTGATTATGTGTGTAATTTAAAGCGAAGATTCATATACTCCCCTTTTTCTTCCAAAGGATTAATTGTAAACTATAGGTTTCTGTATATCTTTTCTGTTCTTTTTTTCTCTCTGTATAAAATTTTTTAAAATGCATGTGTATATATATATATATATATATATATATATATATATATATATATATATCTCTCTATGACATATCTCTTTCTTAGTGACTGCTGTATTGACGTATTTCATTTTGTTAATTTTGACTTAGTTCCAGACTGATAAAAACTTTAAAATTTTGACTTTTTTGCAGGCTATCAACCTAAATTATAAAGCATGTGTTTACCAACAATTATTTCATTTCATTGAAGTTACTATTTTAAATAAGAAAGGTCTGGTACAGAGTTATGAGAATATCACTAGAGATCATGTGTGCTAGACTGGAAGCTTTATTCTGTACTTTGGGTATAGTAGTGTAACAGTTGTGTAGCCAGCTACAAATCCAACTATATAGTGTTATTTGTCCCTGTCCTCCCCCCCATTTTGACTTAAAAGGAATCATGGACGTTTGTCAGATAGTTTGATTAAGTTAAGATGTGTCAAATACTCTACCTGTGATGGACCCTCTATAATCTATTACTATTTGATAGGTACTATAATGCTATTAAAAATGATTAGTGGTTTGTTCTTAATGAATTCATGCTATACCCTACACATTTTTGCTTTCTTTCCTAAAGGCTTACAATCTTTCCATATGATTTTCTTTGTACTGGTTTTTGCTTTGGGGTGTGTGTGCTTGCCAGAAGGAGAGAGAGAGAGATAGTGAGGGGGGAGGGAAAGTGAGAAGTCACCCCCCCACACACAGGGGGGATGGCCATGCAATCCTTTCTCCTCCATCCTCCTCCGGAGATCTTGGGCACACATGCATAGGTGCCTGGCATTAGTTTCAAGCCACAGATCTGGGATTCGAACCACAGTTGGCTATGTGGGATTCCAGAGAAGTAACCAATACGCTATCAGCTGGTCTTCCCATTTGTTGTTTTGTTGTTAAAATTTAGAACATTTTTAAGTTTGGCTTTAGAATCTTCCTCTTCCTGTTTTTTTCAAATTTGAAGTACATTTCCCTGTTTTCATTGCTATGAATCCTTTTGCATGCTCTGTGGTTGTTTAGACTAGATAAAAATAAAAAGTATTTATATGATCATAACCATAAGTTCTTTGGATTTTATGCAGCATAATATGTTAGATCTGTAGGCTAGCACTTGTTTAAAACAGATTGTTTATTGTTTTTAGTTGGAAAATGATCTGTTGCCATGGAATATGAAAGCATTTAAATATGAAAATATATAAAAAAATGTATCGTGTGGGAACATATAGTAGGTGCTTCAATAATGTCTCTTCCTCCTTTTTTCCCCTTAATCTTGTTCTATACCAACTAGCTGGCCTATACATTTTCATAGTAGCTCTGTCAGCATACCTAAGCTGTAGCTATTTCTGTGTAATTTTGTTGATATTATATTTCTTTCCCTTATATGTATTTATTCCTGTCCTAAGCTATTTTATCTTATTTCAATTTATTTTTTCCTTTTAAGTTTATTAATTTATCTCCTACATAAGTGATATATATAGAGAGAACCGCCAACAGGGTCCTTATGCTTTCATCCACCCACAGCCTCAGTGAGTTTTGCATCATGGACATATGCTTGCCAGGCATACTCAGGGAAATCTCTGGATATGAACCCAGAACTTTCCCATGTGGTTCAGCCTCACAGAGCATTATGTTTTACTGCTGTAGCACTTTCTGGCCCCTCAAACATTTTAAATATACTTACTATTTGAATATATATGCTACAGATATTTTAGATTAGAAAGATGACATTTGATTGATAAGATATGCTCTGATTCTTTTATATAAATTCAGGAAGAACCTAACTTTAATATGAATTACTCTCTGAAAGTTTCTTCTTAAAAGCTGGGTTATGTTTAACTGATCATGTACCTGGAATTCAGAATTATTTTCTAATTTATAAGAATGAATTCGTTAAGTTTCATGCCTTAGGCTAAGTACTTCATATACAGTATTTCATTTAATCCTTACAACAGTTACGAAGTTGGAATTTTCTTCCTGTTATAGCAGAGGAAACAGACTTAAGGTTTCATAACAGAACGTAGTAGGGCTGAGATTTGAATTGATCTGTCTGCAACATTTAAGTTTTTCACTCCTTTAGAGGAAACAGCTAAGATATAATTATAACATTTTTCTGTAAGAAAATATGATTTGCAGTATAAAGGTTTATTTATTTATCAGGCTTGGAATTGTGTCACTTTTGGACTTCCCTTTTCAGCTGTAGCACATTCCTATTGCTGGGCTAAAAGTGACTTTGGGACTGTACTTTCCTATTCTATGTCTTTGGGATTCACTGGTACAGGGGGTTTTGGGAATACATTTTACCTTTTTAATCTTTTCTCCTCTTCCCTTTCCTCTGCCCAGTGGTGTAGCTTTTCATACGCAAGAATATTTATGAGTGGATACTTAGAACTCCTGCAATACCAGCATTTATTTTTATAAGGCAGTAGGATCATATATATTTTTACTTACTGAAATAGATAATTTTTCTACAAAATATGCTTTTGGGAATAATTGAACTGTGTAACTTATTAACATGGATTTTTAAAAAACTAAGTGAATTATTTGAATAAAGCTATAACAGATTATAAATGGATATTGAATTTATATTAGATTATAAATGGTTTAGTTTGGGGCAGGCATTTATGGGGAAGGTCTTCAAAAAGTTTATAGAAAACACATCGTATAAAAAAAGGTATGCATGGATTTCAATGTTTTTTTTTTTCCCCCAAAAACAAACTCATGCTTTAATTCCATTTGTCCATGAACTTCTGAAGTTCTCTCATATTGCTTATGTTGGAAAATTATTTTGTTTTTACTTTACTTTTTATTTTGTGCATTTTCTTTATGTCCTTGGTTTTTACAAATAATGTTGATGTATGAAAAATGTTTGTGCTTAGGTTATTACATTGCAGATATTAGAAGGCAAGTGAATTTTAATGAAAGATAAGTTACTAAATTTAATTATTTTTTGTTTCTTACAGTGAACCTTGCCCTTGCACTAGCAGCGAATGATTCGGTAGGTGTTTACTAATAGAAATAATACTTTATTAAAATTTTTTTTAAGGCAATGATAAAGAGCATATTGGTATTTATCATTTACTCTCTCAGAAGCTTTATAGTATAGTTTTAGTCAATTGCACATCTGTAACCAACTTAAAATTCTGCCTTTTTCACTGGTTATATTTAATAATGATACAGTCAGGGGATGATCTTACATTATTAACCATATTTATCCCACAAAAGACTTTGGTGGTCTTGCATGGAGATTGTGTCCTAAATTAGTTTTCTCATTTATTATCTGCAGAAGAATTATTGTGGGTTCAGTTTGTTTTGTCTTCATTTTTGTTAGAGGGCAAGTCCACTAACCAGAGAGAAATGGAGAGAGACAGAAAGAGGGGGAAAATGAGAAATCACTCCCTACAGGGGATGCCCATGCCACAATTCCTTTCTTTCTTTTCCCCTAGGGATTTTGAGCAGGCATACATATGTGCCTGGAATGTCTTTCAAGCCACTGGATCTAGACTCAAACCACAATGTGGAATCTAGCCACCATAATCACCATTCCACTAGCTGGCCTATCAGTTCAGTTTTTTAAGTGCTAGTAATTCAGTTTTTTTAAAGATAAAAGATACTCTAAAAGTAGTGCACCTTTACTAAAACAAAATTTGTACTGATTATGTGTGTAATTTAAAGCGAAGATTCATATACTCCCCTTTTTCTTCCAAAGGATTAATTGTAAACTATAGGTTTTTGTATATCTTTTCTGTTCTTTTTTTCTCTCTGTATAAAATTTTTTAAAATGCATGTGTATATATATATATATATATATTTTCTATGACATACCTCATTCTTAATGACTGCTGTATTGAAGGTCAACCATAATATATTTGACCAGTTCCCATCTGATGCTATATTTAGTTTCTTCCCCCCCCCATTCTAAATGATGCTATTGTGAAATTCTTGTGTTGTAGTCTTTAGTATTACACATTAAATAATGATTTTTTCTTAGGATAGATTCCTAAAAGTAAATCTACTAGATAAAAAGGTATGCATACTTTAAATTGTACTCCTAAAAGTTTGCTTTATTTAAAAAAAACTTGTTTATTTAGTTGTGTGTGTGTATGTGTGTGTGTGTGTTTGGGGCATGCATGCTCATGTGCCCAGTGTGATTTTCAAGATGCCAGGTCCGAGATTCCAACTGCAGAGTCAGCCATGTGGGGTCCAACCCCTTA